TTTTTTTTTTTAAGTTACTAGAAAAATAATAAAATTGAACTAATAAATTTTCAATAGTAACGGTACAAAATTATTGGAAAACTTTAAATCCAAGCATCGTAATTATTCTTACTGGAAAAAAGAAAAATCATTAAAAAAATATTAAATATCATCGAAAAAATATAAAACAAAAAAATTCAAAAAACCCGAAACAATCAGTATATTTACAGTGGCGGTCAAAAATGAATGAATGGTGTTTCGTTTTTAATATTTACAATGCTTTTAAAGCTAAATTTTTTTTATATTTTTTTGTAAACTTCGTACTGAATTTAGAAAAATTCCACAAATTTTTATCTAAATTTCGAGCTTTTTTACCACAATTTTTAGACATTTTTTCGGGTATGCAGTTAACAGGCTTATTAAATTATAGTAAAGTTTGAGCGCTTAAAAAATCGCATTGATTTTTGATAATTTTTTTTTTTTTTGCTGACGGCTTTTGCGGTTTTTCATATAAAAAACGAAATATAGGAAAACTGGCGTTGACTTTTTTTATTTTTTTTCACAAACGGTCTTGCGCATATTCTTCCACAAGAAATTCATGGTTGTATGGAAAAATGTGCAAGACGCCCTGCCCCCATATAGTCGAAACACTGTGCGCCGTCAACAAAAAAAAAAAGTATTAAAAATTAATGCGATTTTTTAGCCGCTCAAAACTTGCCCTCCTTTTACTATAATTTTATAAGTTTGTTAAAATTCCGGTGAAAAAGCTCGAAGTTTATATAAAAATTTGTAGAATTTTTCTAAATTCTGTATAAAGTTTAAAAGTGTGATTTATACAGTTTTTGTTAAAGAATAAGCCATATTTTTATAAAGAAATATCAAATATCAATATCTTAGCATGAAAATATTAAAAACGAAACCAAATTAAATAATTTTTGACCGCCACTGTACGTTACTAGGGGTAAAATATAGTAAACTGGGTTTTTAGTTTTTCTCTCTGACGTCAGAATTTTTTGAAGGCATATGAAAAAAAATAATAATTTTTTCAAAAACAAATATTGGAGATTTTCAGGGGTATCAAAGGATAAAATTTTAAGAGAACATTTTCAATACGTATTAGTCCTTGTGTACAAAAAACATACATTCGTCCCTATATTTTGTGGAAGCAAGAGGTTGAAGAATTAAAATAGATAGATCCAAATATATACTTCCTCTTTTCCAGAAAGATGCTCGCGCAAGGTTGAAATAGTCAGTTTTTCCTAAAGGGATGGTCGCTGCACGCACGACATTTATGCTTAGGAACCACTTTTTTATGAGTTCAAATTAAAAGCTGAACATTAAGATGGTGTCACATGTTAAACAAAAAAGTAAATAAACTTCGAAAACTAACTGAATTAAGCTAAAAAAGTATAAAATATTACACCAATTTTTAACTCGCAAATAAGTAGTAAAGAAGAATAAAAAAGAAGCACCAAGATGTAAATTTTAGGCAATTTAGGAAATTAAAATGAGCCACAATGGAAGGCACTGTGCAATTTTTTTTTTTTTTTGCTTTAATTTGATTTCATTCAACTTTTGGCAATTCTCGTATTTCCTCTCCTGAAAGGTACCGGCAGGTTCACTACTCTTTGCTCACTGGATTACTACAAAATGAAGCAGCAGATGTGAAATATTCGCTACTATAAAAGCATCAGTGGACACTTGGACACTTACGCATTCACGTGTGCTCACTCGAGGCAGAAAGAAGCATTCAATTCTGCAACAAATAACACCGGACACCAACAACGCAATGTATAAAACAGTAAGTGACAGCCAGTGTTCCACACACACACACACACACACACACACACACACATAGGTACTTTCATTTTTCTCAAGGATAAAACACAATGCCATCTCTCAATTATTTGCAGACGACCACATCATCACTCGCAATCGCACTCATCTTTGCCATTGTACTTTGCAGCTGCCACAATTTCGTAGAAGCGCGTCCTGATCAATATGATGCCGCTGCAGAGACGCGTAATTTCAAGAGCGAAGTGAAAGAGGATGGCAGCTATCAGTATCAGTATGAAACGTCAAATGGCATTGCTGCTGGCGAATCGGGTGTTGGCGGTTATTATGCAAGTGGCTCGGCAGCCTATTATGCGCCAGATGGACAACTCATTCAACTGAGCTATACTGCCGATGAGAATGGCTTCCATCCGGCTGGCGAACACTTACCAACGCCACCACCAATTCCAGAGGCTATTCTAAAGTCACTTGAATACATTCGCACGCATCCCCAGCAGGAGGATCGCAAAGGTGCTAGCGGACAGGCTCAACCTTCCTTTCAGTTTAATAAGAAGTTCTAAGGCAATTGGCGAAGAAGTTTAAATGTGGATCTATGAAAGATATCATTTGCTGTTCGTCGCGTTTTAATAACCAACGGTATTTTTTTTTGTGTTGATGATTTTTGAGAAAAAAGAAACACCTGTTGTAACTATGTATAACTTTAAGCGAAAACTTTATAAACGTAGATAAGTTTTCCACAAGTAAATCCAAGTAATGTTTTAAATTTCTTAATCTTTATTCGTTGTTGGTAAGCAGAAAGGATAAACTCTTTCGAGACATCTATAAGCTAGTTTTTTTCGCTGAGACAATGATCGAATGGGATTTGGTTGGGTTAAAAGTTTATAAAAGAACTCCACTGGAAAGCAGTAGTAGCTAATTCATTTTGTGAGTGACCAAAAGGAGGTGTGTTTCGAAGTTATTCCCACTTATTCAAAGATTTACTATCTCATTTAGATCCAATCAGATTCCTTCCGATTATTTTAAACATAAATAGAAAATAATGCCAAATCGCATGGAGAAATTTCGCTTCAGAGATCTCTAGGTTCAATATGATGAAAGTTGGGTTATTTAAGGCTTAACCTAGCGAAGGCTGTGTAGCTCATCATCATCCACAAAGCTGCATCCACTAAGTCCTGAAGCTTTGTCAAGTTGTTCTGAGTAGCTTTTGAAAAGTTCTAGAGTTCCTGAGAACGAGAAAGGAAGTTCTGCAAAATTATGCCGAATTTTTTTTCAAAAAAATCTAAAAATTTATTTTTTGAAAAAAAATAAAAATTAAAGCCATTTTGAGTAGCTCTTCAATAGTTCTAGAGTTATAGAGAAGGAAAAAGAGATTTCTTCCAAATTACGCCGAAAAAAACTTTTTTTTCGAAATAGTCGAAAAAGTTAAATTTTTGAAAAAAAAAATTAAAAATTAAAACTGTTCTGAGTAGCTCTTCAATAGTTCTAGAGTTCCTGAAAAAAGAAAGCTCTGCACAATTACGCTTGATACCGTGGCAGCCGTTTAAACTTTATTGTTGCGAATTTATAAATTTTTTTTTTCGCCGTAATTTTGCAGCACTTTCTTTTTCGTTCTCAGGAACTTTAGAAGTTTTAAAAAGCTACTCAGAACAGTTAAAGTTTTCTTACTTACTTTTTCGACTTTGAAAAAAAAATGTTTTTTCGGCGTAATTTTGCAGAACTGTGGTTTCCCTTCTCAGGAACTCTAGAACTATCGAAGAGCTACTCATAAGTTTGGACCACGTTAAGCGGTTTTTATAGTTCTTTTTTTTAAAGAAAAGGTGTTGCCTCACAGGTGGTCCCGTACTAATTTGGTGTAAATCCAATCATTAGATCATGAAGAAATTGACTCTTAAACTTGTATATGAGAATTGAAGTCGTTTTTGTTTTTGCTTAAAAATTATTTGTTTTTTTAACATTCAATTTTTTAGACTTTTTTTCGGCGTAATTTTGCAGAACTTTTTTTTTCCTATTCAGGAACTCTAGAACTATTGAAAAGCTACTCAGAACAATTTTTTATTTGTCTTTTTGCTACATGTCGTATGCTGCGTGAATCTGGCATACACAATTTTTTAAGCAATTCTTTTTTGTCAAAATGTTCAGAACTTTTTTTCCTTTTCAATAACTCTAGTACTATTGGAGAGCTACTCAGAACTATTTTTTTGTCGTTTGGTGTCATACCATATGCCAACTCCTCAGACATCACTCTACTAGCCTTGATTTTAGACCTAATGTCCCGCCAAAAAGTCTTCGTCAGAGTTTTCAATCACTTTCCTTCCAACGTTGACCGAGGTTAGGTTTATATTAGTAGGTACTGCTGAATTTTTTCGAAACTACAATTGCCAGGTAACCTGCGTATCCAACAACATCATAATCGCACTCATGATTAACAAAGGAGCTAAAACATTTGAGTCAAAATCACTCAAATTTACCAATATTTTTTTGAAGGTCTAGCTTTTTAGTGGAATATATTTTTTCTGGTTCACAATGATAATGAAATACATATATATTCGACAATTTATCGAAATTCGAAATATTTACG